TTAAAGGTGCATTGCTGCCACCTAGAGTGTGAAACAGATTAGCAGGGGGAAAAAACAGGTGATGACTGCGTGGCGGGTGGTGGGCCGGCCCGCCGGCCGTCCTGTGATTCTCCAGATCACACAGATGGCCAGTCCGCCCCTGGGTTCAAGTAAACGTGATACTGCTTGGATAAAACTGTACTCAGATCAAAGTCAAACCTAGGTAAGTTCAATGTACACCTTTAGGCTACACAAAGGGCATTTACATGTCAATGGATGCACTAGTGGAACAACATCATGCCTTCCCAGGGTGTGAACCACAACACCAAGCCTTTATGTCCAAACTAACAATAAATTGCTGACTGTGCACACAACTGATTATCTATTATGAATATACAAGCAGCAACCTCTGCATTGCCTTAAAAGAATTAACCAGAAAAGAGGACAAAACTCAGTTACACAAAAAATGGCCAATAATGAATAACAACAGGTATGGACACCGCATTGGATGCAACACGCATCGTTAGGCTATTCGACACTGTAACAGCAGAATTAAGCATCACCAAGGCAGACAACAGAGCTGTATACACAATAGAAACCGGACAGCAGCTACAGCCCACAAACACACACATTAAAAACACACAATGCTACACAGTGAGTCACATCCATCAGTGAGTTTGTTGTTGTACTCACCTCTCTGAACTTCATCCTTGTGCACTGCGAAGTCCTCCACAGTCTGCTCTAAGTTGAATTTCTCAACTTGTTCATTCTTATTGTGTAATATAAACAGTCCATTCAGCCTCTGTCCCACTACGCCCCTCAAATTCAAAGAGTTTTGAGCTGAATGACCTTCTGCAGCTTTTTGTCAAAAACAGCAGAAAGGCCTTACACACCTCACTGAAGGTGGGAGTTCATAAGCAAATGTAGAAGTCACTGCTGGAGGATCCACCATGAGGCTTTTAGCACTTAGCATTTAGCCAGACCCAGCTTGCACCTGTGGGTGGGTGTGGGGTAGGTGTGGGTGTGTTTCACAAGATTTTCCTGCTAAGTCACTCATCCAGCCACAGTCTTGTAACGAAACCTGTCATCTGTGAGTTTATGGTTTGATGGGAGACATTCCCATTGTGCAACAAAGATGTGTTTGCTTTACATCATCTAAACTGCTGAGCAACCTGCCTCCCTGAGGAACATCAGGCCAGCGGAGCCACATCAGTAAAAAAATATGTATATCATAGTGTCATGTACTGGTGGAAAATATGAGGATAATAAGATACACCAGTGTACAAATCTGAAGGCTCTAGATGATTCCGTCTATATTTCTGCTGGTTTGGACATCCCAGAATGTGTCAACCATGACTGCTGATGTTCTGTTTCTTGTTGAACTGTGTGCTAATGGCTTTCAGAAACTATTATAAATTAAGGTTGGAGAAACAATTACAAACCCACAGTTGATTCTTGTGTTAGTAAATTTCACTCTCAAAGTTTCCCTGCAGTAAATATGCATATCAGGTTCGCGCTCATAACTCAGAGAGCTTAAACAAACATTTGTGGGATGCTTCAGGCTGCAGTCAGATGGGAACTGCACAGGGTTCCTTTAAGAATTCTTCCATAAATTATTTCATGAAGCTCAACAAGAATTGTGTAATCCTCTTACTTCTTCACGACTGATGTTGTACAGCCAAACACTGTTCAAAGAATCTTATTTAAAATT